TTTTTAATATGTTTCACTATACGAGTAAAAATCCGGAAATTTTGGAACGGATTAAAGTCGTTAAGCGTTAATTATTCACCAAAATATTGTTTTGATGAAAGTAGAAAATAATAATAAACACCGTTCGACCGTTTGTTATCTTTAAAATAAATCCTATTCGTATTTCCTTAAAAAAAAAATGTATTTAAGAATCCAGGTAGATCGTCCTTCTTCCGATTGATGTTATTGTTGTGATTGCTTTAATCCTGTTTTGGTAACAATATTATCATCCGGCCGCAATTAGTGATAAGTCGTTGACATGTTTCGCCCGATCGCACAGAGGATTTTGCGAATATTTTCGATACACTTGTCCCACTTTATACTCGAAACAGTTTCGCAAAGAATACGGAGTATTTAAAAGAATATATGTGTATGTGTGTAAAAAGGAAGAGAAAGGAAGGAACGGCAAGGTAAAGAAGGGGCCCAGAGCATTGTCTAGAATACATAACATTGAGCGGAGTACGTATGAATTGAGGGATGAAATAAAAAAAAAGTTGTAGAATGAAAGAGAAGGATGGGCATAGGAGTGGAAATAGTATTAATGTGTTGTTTGAGAGAGAGAGAGAGAGATTGATGGAAGGAGGGCAATGGCAAGAAGCGGAGGAGATTTGCCAGGGGTGGAGTGAATCAATAGCGTATCAAATCGCAACATCCTCGAGCACTGCTTTCTCTCTTTCTGTCTCTATGAATATATAGATTAAAGAGCATCTTCATGGGTTTTGTTAATCCGTCTTTTGGTCTCTTCATAGTTTTTTCTTCTATCCAATGTTACAACATACATATTTAATCCTATCCTTGTCGTAACCATTTATCTATCACCCATAGAAATTTCTACACAAAATAAAAAAAATAAACTTGTTATTTTCTTCAAATCTGCTTCAATTACAATTAAGTTAAGTATTGATTAAATAATTAAGTTTCATGAATTTCTTAAAAAAAAAATCTAAATTAAAGATAATTGATTGTTAACTATTTATACCATAACTTATAAATATTTTGAAACAATCGTGGATAAAATTTTAAAATATTTTTTTTATATAATTAATAATAAACTAATATAAACAAATAGTTTTAATTAGAAACAACCGTTGTTTCAAATCATTAACTGATTTATAAAAAAAAATAAGGTATTTGTATGTTACTTGCATTTTTTTTCAAAATACACTTATACCTCGAATTACACCATACTTTCTTAACACGTTTTCGCTTTTATACGGTTAAAAAAATAAATGTTAAATAACTTATCACATGCGTTTTTTGCATACTTTTCGATATACACGGTTTTACATTCAAAAATCGTGTAAATTAGATTTCTTTTTTTTTCATTTTATTACCGTTGCTGTGAATAGAACAAGAACATGAGTAAATTGCAACAAAAAAGATGAACTATAATAAGAAAACAATGGTGATGTATGAAAATACAAGTATTTTCATATATAAATAAAACTATTAATAATTAGTAACACATTTTGATGTAAAATATACATTGACTTAAATAATATAGAAATAAATAATAATTATTATTTTTTGATTAGGATAAAAATGTACTTGTATTTATTTTGTTCAGTGTTTTTTAGTTGAGCCGTGGCAATGTTCTGCGTTTTGAGCTTAGGTTGAATCGCGCATGCCTTCGCTGCAGGCGTCAATACCAGCGCCAATCCGTGGCCCAACTTCATCCTCTGGCTGCTTCCACGTCCGTCCGCGTTCTCTCTATCCATCCGCTTTCTATGCGTTCTATCTACTCTTGAAGCCATCCACCCGCTGCTACAACAAAATGGACGAAATCACATAGGACAGACCATTCCCCTCTACTAATTAACTCGCATTTAATCCACTTTCAAATCACCCAATTTCATTCCATCTGCAAAAAAAAAGTAAACTTTGTTCTATACCTGAAACGCACTTTTGCTCTCCCCATGCATACGTAATCATCGATCCACAATATTAATAAGGATTATCATTACCTGATTCCACTTATATTATTTTTCTCTTTCTGCTTTCTTTCTTTTCTTTTTTTTTTCGTGGTTCAGTGTTGATTCAGTGTAGAAAAACGTGCACGTTTTAATGGTCAGAAAGTCACGTATTTGTCTAGTTATTAAGTGTCCGTATGTGTGTAAATAATGTACAAAAATCCCATCCTATTTGCCCATTAAAAACCTGAAAATCCTCCGTTTGTCGCGGCGCACCGAAAAGGCTTCGAGCCTTTTCTTTTACACTTTTTTATTACCCACATAAAATAAAGCAAATTCATATATTATTTACATACATGCATGTAGAAGCGAGATGCTAGACGAAAACACCGCACACTCTTTATTTCATTCAGTATTCTACAGAAAAATGCATCTTTAATATGCATACATGATAATCTAGTTAGCGTGTGTAATACACGGGCCTACTTTAAAAATGTTGTCAAAAAATCTCTGTTTTTCAGTCATTTACGAAAATTGCATTTAACCTCTCTTAATTACTTCAGTTTTCAAGATTGAAAAATCTTCTAAAATTAGTATAATTTTAAGAAATTTCTAATAAAACAGATGTAAACTGTTCGACTTTGTGAAAGGTTTTATAAACAATAAAAAATGACTAAATAAGTAAATAACATTAAGACTTTTTAGAAAATGCGTAGTTAATAAACTTATAACGTAAAATATAAGATATAAAAAATAAATTCATTAATACGTTAATTTTGTATTAAAAATAAATTAGAAATAACTGTCATGAAAACTATTAAGAATTCGCAGCAGTAAAATTTAGTAAAGTTGTACGAAACTTCTGTAAAGAAAACCAAACTTTTCTCTCCAACGTACACATAAATAATTGAATCGACACAAGTTGAAAATGTTCAATATCGATTCGAAAAGAGAGACTGCAGACATCATTATCTGCGCACATTTCTTGAAGCTCTTATCGCAATACCGCAACGCAATTATTAGATAAAACTTGTTTTCACCATCGCAACTAAGGAGTGCCACGAACTGAACGAATTTTTATCGCTGCCGATGATAGCGGAAAACATTTCAATATGAATTATAGTAAAATAACACAAAAAAATATCTGTTTTATAGAATATGATGAAAAATATCAAGTAATAAAGATGTAGTTTATTTTAATTAACTTCAACATTCACGTTTACATCGTAACAACGCAAGGTTTACAATCATAACAGAATAAAACGATGATTACATAGATAAGACGGAACGAAAATACCCATTACAAATTTCCACCGAAATTCATCAATTTAACGAAGATAATAAGCTTAGAAATAAAAATTTACTTCTAGAAAAATTATTAAACCATTTAAGTAAATTGAGGAAAAAAAATGGTAAATTGTGTCAGTGTGTCGATGATGATTACATAATCCATTCGGATGTTAGCGTTTCCATTGTTGTGTGAAACTTCACGTGGAGTGAATAAAATGTAATGTGATTAACTTGTTCGGAATGCCCATTAATTACGATAAAATCAAATACATTAATTATTTTGGGCAGTGCGTGCACTAATTAGCGTCGATATATGTACGCATGTTTTAACAACATTCGCAATTATCTAGAAACATTTTAACCACACTGAAATCATTACAGATGCACTAAATTATGTTCTTGTTTCGTTCTATAATTAGATCGTTATGAGTTAATCAATTTTGAGTCATAATCGGAGATTCCGCAGCATGATTGCAGCGAGCGTAATCTTTCCAGTCTAGTCTATCTTTTAAATATTTTATTATTTTTTTTATCCAATTAATCAATATACTTCTCCTTTGTTTTCATTTCGTTCTCGGTTTCGCGGAACTTCTACGTATCACATGTTCGTTGTTTTTTTTTTACGAAACACTAGATTTCAATGTCATTACCGCAATATTATCCAGCAATTGCATTGTTTTGTAAACACAATAATCACTTCGGTTTACTGAAAATACATTTCGATGCAAGTACAAAAGCTTAGTTTTTGTTTCAATATGAAATTACACGAAAATTGTTGTATTTATCATGAATCTTGATTTTAGTTCTGATTTGTATATTTTCAATTGTAGGGAAGCAAAAATAATAAATGGTTGTTGATTCATTCATTCATAAAAGCTACACCTTTATATAATACGGAGGTCTTAAGAAGGGTATTCACAAGATACTAAGGAAACTGACCGCACAAAAAGAAATCAGGTAGGAAACGGAAACGAAATAAGTTCTTTCATGTTTAAAGAGATCTTGAAACATTTATTCGTGACAAAATGAAATAAAAGTAAACATATAATAATATAATACAAGTACATGTACATCAAACTTCATCAACATTATTCGCATCGATAATTATTATTATCTTCCTTTTAATTATTTTTTTTTTAGTTTTTTTTTTCTCCTGTCTTCAACTATACATTTTATATCCATAATCGTAATCATAATAATAGTAATTCAAACATCTTCGCTCAATTCAAGTTATATATTATATACATCTTAGTTTTTTTTTTGTTTTGGTTCTTAGTTGCACATTTTTTTACCAATTTTCATCAATTCATTATCATATAAAAATTTAAAAAATAAAAATAAGAAACACATATTCAAACGTGAAAAGCGAAATAAAGGATAATAGAAATTCATCTGGGCATTTCCTTCATGTTTTTATAGATTTATATATTTTATACACTAATTTACAGGAAAAAAAAATTCTTTACAATATGTTACAAAATAAAAATAATATATAAAAAAAAGAAACAATATTCGATTTGTTCAGAGAAAAACAATTTATTATAATATTTAACAACAGATCGAAGGTAGAGATTTTTCTAGTCGTCACTGACAACATTCATTTTTTTTTTTGTTGTAATCTTGAAACACTAATTTGAAAATTAACTAGCGCTTTTTTCTTTCCTAAGTTTATTTACAATAAAATATTATATAATATATATATTTATATGTATAGGGGGGATTTCGTTTTTTCTTTTGTATATATAAAAAAAATGGTATTTATATTAAAGTAAAAGTAACGATTAATATATATATATATATATAGAGAAAGAAAAGAACCGTCAATTGTGTCCTCTTTCCTCGCTGCGATTGCACAATTTGTTTTATTTTTTTGTAAAAAAAAAATGAGGGTCCGTAATAACGATAATTCTGCGATTGAAAGAACGTGTTATATACAGAGGGCGAATCGTATTATTGATTTGCCTGGTGATTTGTGAAGGTTCAGATTCTTTCTTAGGCAAGGGGATATTGTCACAAGCTCGTCGTGCTGGCGGAGGTGTGGTACAGGGAGGTGTTGTAATAGTCGTTGCCGAGGGCAGAGTGACCGTGCACGGAGTTGGGAAGCGGACTGAGAGGATTGTAGCCGTACTGCATGTCGTACATCTTGATGTCCGCTTTGCTCTCGTTGGGCAACAAGCGGGTTATAGAGAACGGATGATTCGAAGGGGTGTAGCCGGGCGGTTCCTGCTTCAGGTGATGGCTCATGGAGCCGTGATGCAGCATCGCAGCGGCTTGGTGGTCACCGCTCAGCGCCAGAGGATGACATCGATTCACCATCGCTGAGAGCTCTTCGTGCGACATGTTCTGCTGATGATGATGCTGCGGGTTCATGTTCAGGTCATTGTGGTGTTGCAACAAACTCATCTGTCCATCCACGTCCAATTTGGTCGGATGCAGGCTGAGCATCGAGCTGAGGTTCGCTTCTGCAGATTTATCCATGTGATGCGACTTGTGTACGTCGTCTTGTTGTTGGTGTATGGGCGTCTTCTTGCCCGAACTGTTTGTATCGATGCCGTGCGACGGACTCTTGTGATGCGTTTGCCTGACCATCTCCTTTTTGTCGTCTTTGAATCTCTTCTGACGCCGCAGATAACAACCGTTTTCGAACATATTTCCGGATTCCGGATGGAGACTCCAGAAACTCCCTTTGCCCGGCTTGTCCGGTGTTCTCGGCACTTTGATGAAGCAATCGTTGAAGGACAGCGAATGCCTGATCGAGTTCTGCCAGCGCTGCTGATTCTGTCTGTAAAACGGGAACAGATCCATGATGAACTGATAGATCTCGGACAACGTAAGCATCTTCTGGGTGCTGTTCTGGATTGCCATCGTAATAAGCGAGATATAAGAGTAAGGCGGTTTAGCGTGCGTGTAACTTCTACGATAAGTCTTGTCCGCTCTCGCTCTTTGAAGCGCCGAATTCGGGGAGGTATCGCCGCCGTTAATTTCGCCTCTCACAGGAAGAGCACCATAGGGCATCGTGTTCATACCGGAAGTTCCCAATTGGCAATTGTTCATATTCGCGAGAGGCGATCCGATCGGTCCGTAGCCCATACCGCCCGTGTTCATCCCGCTTCCGTTTCCGTTCATGCCGCCGCTACCTCCACCGCCGCTCATCGGCGTCATCATACTGGAACCAACGAAGCTGGATTGTGGATTGCAGGAGTTTACCGATGCCATTGAGACGCAGTTCATAGCGTACGACGGCGTCATCAGATGGCCGGCCGTGGCCATCGTCGTCGCTTCGCTGTACAGCTTTTGCGAAATCATCTCTTCTTCCCTAGAGGCTTTCTCTCAATAGGAAAAATATGATGATTCGAGATACAAGCCGATCCCAATTGTAGTTATATATTATCACTGAACTTTGGGACGCGCACAAATTCGCCTCTTCGAAACCAAAATAAAAACACCAACTTGCGTCTCTTTCCCTTTCAATTAGAATTGATCTTTAACTCGTCATCTGTATCATTGTTTACATCACGAACCGGGTCCACAAACAAGTTAACACTTTAGGCATTCCAAACCAGCACTGATTGGAAAAACAAATACTCCTCGCTGCGTGTTTACTTAGATACTACAAGCTGATGTGAAGTACCCAGAGCTTTAGGTCGTCAAATACTGAACAGGCTGGGAGGGCGATCGCCATGGTGACACGAGAACCAATAGTAGAGCTTGCAACGATCGTCTCCATGGAAACGGCGCCAGAAACACGCTACGATTGGTCGGATGGGAGCGATGCGTCGGCCGCCCCACCACGACGGGGGGGCGCGACCGCCCACTGTAGTCGACCGTGGCGACGCCTCCGCATGACGCCAACTAAAAAACGCGCCGTTGCAGGCGTTCTTCGTTCGCCTGTCAAACTTACCTCAAACGTTTTTCAATCTGTGAAGTTTCCATTTCGGATTACCCAATAACACATCCAAATAACAACAACAATAACTCTATTTATTGCGTAAGCGAACATTTCTGCACAGTAAATGATTTCTCATAGAAGCAATCACAGTGAGTTCAAATGTACATCAAAGCGAATATACAATTACACATTTTCGGATGACCCGTTTCGTTTCCATTTGCAAAAAGTTTCATTAGCAAAGGTAACTAAAATTATTTCACATTTACTTACTGCCATTTTTTTTTCCTAAAATTATCTTGTTTCATTCAATATAACTATCAATAAAAAAAAAAGATTGACTGTTTGGAACAATTATTTAATTTAACAATTTCTATTCGTCCATTTTTATATAATTTACAATTATTTCAATTTCAATATCAAAGGTAAAAGTAGAGTTCATATTTCTTATTTTTTACTAATGTTTTCATCAACAAAGTAGTTGCATTAAATACGTTAATATATTACCATTTTATTAATAATATTGTATCATTTGCAAAAATTTCAGAAATAATAAGGTTCCTATTACATTTTTCTTTTTTTCAAATTTATTTGTTAAGTGCAATTCATTTTTGAATAAAATCTTACATAAAATATATTTCCCCACTTTTTGATTTTTCAATATATTTTCTTGCAAATTTGTAACTGATTAAACGAATAATATAACCGATTTATCGCTATGTTATTAAATATTGTCAGAAACCATATTAGTATTAAAATTTAAACTTTATTTTTCTATAAAACTGGAAACTCTTATTAACCTTAGTTATAAGTCACAACAATTGTTACTTATACTTTTTTTTTTGTTACATTATTCCATCTCAATCACTTACATTAAATATTATCAAAGAGCCATTTTTAGTGCTGAAAATACAACAAAACTAAAGTAATATGCATTATTAAAATCACACAAAAGGACTATTGAAGTTTCCGTCCAAATCAAGAATAATTTATGAAAAATTATCAATTTGCTATTATAATATAAATTCTATTTTCATAAAATGTAAAAATAATAGTTTTTTGTTATTTAGTTTAAATGACGAACGTATTGTAATCGTTTAAAAGAAAAAAAATACAATAAATCAGTTATTCCCTTTTATATATGGGCACCATAAGTGAGAAAAATGATAATAGAAAAATCAATATACAAGCAATAATACTAAAATAAATACGCTCTCATTATTATTCTGATAAAATCAATAACTGTGCAAACTATGAGATTCAATTATAATATAACAAAAAAATAGTAAATAATCTTATATAAAATGTTAAAAAAAACAGTATATTTTGTGTTGTGCACCTGAAATTGTAAAGAATACATAAAATTTACTTTACTATTAAAACGCAGATTTTGCAGTCATGATGTTTAATTATCTTTTATAACAGATTCAATAAAATTATATGTTAATAACTTTATTTTTGTTTCCTATACCATAAAATGAAAATTAGCAATAGAAGATTTATATGTTTTGTGAACATTAATTAAATAACAACGTAGAATATTATATTACGTGCCAAATAGTATTTCATAATTTGATTTTCAAATCGATCCTATATAATTTTTTTAAATTACGTCTATTCTTTACATTTACAGAAACTTGTTTAGATTTGTTAGTAAATGTATTGTTTGCATATAAAATAAAGTTATATAATCAAATGTTATTAGTCTTTTATTTAACCATTTTCTAATCCTATTTACTACTTTTGTATTAATATTGAATTTTAATATATTTTTTTTTATAAATTCGTCATTTTGATGTAACTATCTTTTTTCAAGTTTACACAAATAACTTTAATAAAGATTTTGTACATATTTCCTTACGTTTCATAAACTCTGATTATTATTTGAGAAAGTCGAATTATCTATTTATATCATTGTTTAAAATAATTTGTTCTAAATTTACTAATAAAAAAAAAGTATTTTGCTTTTACATACTTCCTGCATAAATACTGAATGTTGCGTGCAAATATAAAATTATTTTTTTATATTTTATAAAATCTAATGTTTTGTAATTGATGATTGAGTGAAAAAAAAGATTAATATTATAAGAAAAGTAGATTCAAACATTGCCACGTGTCAATGGTACTTGTATTTATTGACATGTA